CCTTCCACTGAAGGAAGGGGCCGGGCTGCTTCTGGGGAAGCTTGTTTTCTGGGAAGCTGGCTGAGAGGACGGAGCCTGGTGGGGAAGGCAATTCTGACCCTCCTAAGGACACTCACCTTTCAAAGCTTCAAACCTCAGCGGGAAGGAGTCTTGTCTATGATGCTCCCTAGAAACACCCTTTAGCAAAAACCAGGGAAGGAGCTGTGTGCTTTTTTTCTGCTTCCCTTCCGTTGCAGTTGCCCCTCATGTATCTTATTGCCAAGCTAACCGCTCTGGGATATTGTTTTCTTCACTGTCACTACTCTGCTCAAGAACTTGCAATGGCTATTGGGACCTCAATGCTCTCATCTATAATAATAAAAGGGTAATATGCTAATTAGACTGGATGTCTTCCTGATGTCATTCTGGACATCCTTCCTGATGAAGCTGGGGCTGGAGGGAAGCTGGTGCTGGCAGCCGGGGGAAGGAAGGCCTACTCTTGCACAAATTTTCGTGCATCGGGCCTCTAGTTTTTTATAAAGGGAAGAGATAGACTGGAAGGTTAGAGCTGCAGCTCGATGTATGACCCTGTCTTTCTTGCAGATTAAGACCCAATCCCCTGTACTCCCATTAAAGGTGCTCTGTGATCCTGCCCATTCCATCAATTCAGCTTTATACCCCTCAGCCCTAGAGCCTGAAACTTCCCAACCAGGCAGCTTGGTCCTCCTTGATCTCAGACACCCTGTTCATGTCCATCTTGATTCATTGTCTTATTCTGTTTTCTCCTTCTGGGATGTCTGCATGGCCTGTGTTTCAAACCTTTGGTGCCCAAATGGTAGACTGGTTAAGAACAGAGGCTTTGGAGATAAATAAACCTGGTTTTGAGTCTCTGCTTCACAACTTACTATCTGGGTAATTAATCTTAGGCAAATCTCTGAGCTTCAGTGCTTGAGACGATAAAATGGAGACAGTGATAAATGTAAGGTTAGGAGGAGTAACTGAGATAATGTATGCGGCAGGCAGAGCACAGTGTCTGGCACAGGGAAAGCGCTCGGTAAATGGCAATCATTGCTGCAGTTAGTTCAAAATCCTCCCCAGTCCCTCTGCTTCTCCCAAATGTGTCCATCATCTTGGACCCCGCCAAGTCTGAAGGTTTCTCTGTTGCCTGAAGCTCATGGTGGCTGATCCTTTCCTGAGTTCTCATAGCTCTTGGCTATAGGGCCTGGTTAGGTGCTCATGGACTCTGTCTTGCAGCGCACTGATTTCATGTCTGAGCAGCATCTTGCTACCTCAAAAGTGCCTTACATTCCTGGAGAAGAGAGGCCATGATTATCATTTTCATTAGCTCCCAGGGTACTGATATAAATTTGGAGATCCTCAATAATTCCTTTTCAATCAAAGGCTTCAAATATCACATCTTTGCTGTCAATTTCCCAATTCCAAGATTCACATTGACATTCACCAAGACCCGAGGGCCTTCACGTTGGTGAGGAAGGTCTCCCCAGAGTCAGCATTGAGGGTGGCCCATGCATTGCCGTTCACAGACCTCTTAAAAACCTGGGAGCTAAAGTTCTAAAACTCTCAGAAGAAAACATGGGGGAAATCTACATGACATTGGATTTAGCAGTGACTTTGTGACTATGACACCAAAAGCACGGCAACAAAATAGGTAAATTGGATTGCATCAAAGTTAAAAATGTTTCAATATCAAAGGATGTTATCAACAGAGTGAAAAAGCAGCCCATGGAATGGGAGAAGATATTTGCCAACCATATACCTGAGAAGAGGTTAATATATAACGATCTCCTACGATTCAACAGAAAAACCAAACAATCCAATTAAATAATGGACAAATAACTTGAATAGACATTTCTCCAAAGAAGATATATAAATGGTCACTAATCACTAGAGAAATGCAGATCAAAACCACAATGAGATACCACTTCATACCCATTAGAGAATGGCTATTATTAAGAAAGAAAGAAAGAAAGAAAGAAAGAAAGTAAGAAAGAAAGGAAGAAAGAAAAGTAGAAATAAGTTTTGGAGGAGATGTGGAGAAATTGGAACCCTTGTGTACTGCTGGTGAAAATGGTACAGCTACACAGAACACAGTATGTACGTTCCTCAAAAATTAAAAATATGACCCAGCAATTCCATTTTTGGGTATATACTCAAAAGAATTAAAAGCAGGGACTCAAACAGATATTTACATACATGTTTATAGCAGCATTATTATAATTAGCTAAAAGATGGAAGCAACCCAAGTGTCCACAAACAGATGAATGGATTCTTTAAAAAGTGATATATGCATACAATCAAATATTATTTCACCTTTTAAAAGGAAGGAAATTCTAACACATGCTACAACATGGATGAACCTTAAAAACATTATACAAAGTGAAATAAACCGGTCACAAAAGGACAAAGACTATATAATTCCACTCATATGAGGTAACTAGAGTAGTCAAAGTCCTAGAGACAGAAGGTAGAATGGTGGTTGCCAGAGACTGGGGGTGGGGTAGGGGGAAGGGAGAGTTATTGTTCAGTGGGGTACAGGGGTACAGTGTTGTTTCAGTTTGGGAGAATAAAAACAACTCCTGGAGATATATAAATGTCTAACCACTATGCTATACCTGAAACTAACATAATATTGAATGTCAACTGTAATTGAAAAATTAAAAAATGAGAGATTTTTTTGGAAAAGTTCTGGAAATGAGTGGCAGTGCTGGTTACACAACAATGTCAATGTGCTTAGTGCCCCTGAACTTGGGCCTGGTGAAAATGGTAAATTTTACTTTACATGTATTTTACCACAATAATAATAAAAATAAAAATAAACTGGCCAAAGACCATTCCCTAGGTACACATCGGTGCCAGCATACAGAAGTTTACTTATCATTTCAGGGAGCTCACAACCTTCTCAGGTTCATCTATCGACCCATTTAACAACCCCAGTGCTATGGGGAAGCCGTTCCTATGAGCTCAAAGATGTTCTTCACGTCCCCTAATATCAACCCTTGCCCACTTCGGCCTCTGTGAGCGGGGTTGGTCCCTGACTTCCAGATGACCTTCTTTGTGGAGCTCACTTGGCTCCAAGGATGCGGGGGGGAGTGTGCAGTTTGTTACCATGTAAAGCCACATCCTTAAAGGAACTCCATGCTCTTATAGATATCTATCTGCCCTCTCTGAGAATTGCGAGTTAGAGTGTAGCCAGCACAGGTTCTGTTTTTGGGAGTGGGGGTTGGAAGAAGGGGGGGTCTCCTGTGTAAGCAGAGCATCTTTAACGCCCCTTTGGGCCACAGCCCCTTACCAAAGGCCCAGGGCCAGCTCAGCTTCTCTCACACTCTCAGGCGACACTGCTTCCCATCATACTGAAGAAGGCTGCCTGGGGCCATATCTTGCAAAGGAAGAACTATTAAAAAACATTCCATTTGTATTTCCTGCATGGCCCTCCATCTGGAAATATCTTTTATCTGGCAACTTTTGCAAAGCGAACTGAATCTTGAAGGCGGTCCTGGCAGGTTTATGCTGGCTCCTCTATCACTCCAATAAGTCATTTCCATCCTAACCTTCACGAGGGTCGCATAATCGTGACTTGGTAGCAGAAACAGGCCCGGCAGGGAATGGCAGCAAGTGTTTCAGGCCCCGAGTCCTCCTTTTCATCCTGAAAACACCCACTTGGAGGGCAAGAGCGAAATCCAGCAAAGTACTGAACACACTCTCTCAGCTCAAATATTGCTTCTTCAGGGAAGTGCCCCTGACCCCCGTGACCACATTAGGACCCACCACTAGAAGATCGAACTCCCAGGTTGGATCACAACTTGTACAAACGCTACGTTCTGTGATTGTTAAGTGCTATCCGGCTCCCCCAACGCCTGCAAGCTCCTACATGCTCCACATCTAGCATGTAGCAAGTGCCCAATCAATATTTATGGAAGGAATGAATGAATGGACAAATGAATGAATGAAACTCAGCTTACCTGCCTCTCCACCAGTTCCTTCAGGTCCGGGATGAAAAATAGCTTCTTTTCAGAACTGTTGTTCCTGAAAGAAAATGAGAGGAACTCTCTGGTAGGAGCTAGAAGTAGAATGGAGGGGGCGGGGGGAGGGGAGTTCTTTATCTCCAGTTAGAGAAATGTGTCCCCGGGTCCTTGATAAACTAGGGACAAATACCCCTGGGCTTTCTGATAGTGTGAGGGTCCTTGATAGTGTGGCTGGGTGGGGCCGGCGGAGCGTTGGCATCTCGGCAAAGGGATGGATTCTAACGGTTTCTCCACTGGTTGAAAAGGCTGCTTCCTGCCCAACTTTTTTTTTCTCTCCGTTGTGTACCAGTTTAGTTTACCCACGTGAAGGAGCGGCCCACTTCTCCAAACGCTCAGCCGGTGTGTCCGGCGCTGTCCTCATGGCAGCTGCGGTGGCGGCTCAGTGGGATGCTCCCTCCGGTCTGGGAAGGGGAGTGTTCTGTCTGTGTCTCACATTCCTTTGGGTCTCAGAAATCACCCCCTCACTACCTGCCCCCCCCACCCCAAGTTAGGGCAGGTAGCCAGGCTTCCGTTTGATCAGAGAGGAAATTAGGCCAAAGTTATTTCAAATCTTAAACCTGCCTAAAGGAGAGACACAGGACACGTATCACAGGACACATATTCATTGGACAGCCCGACCACAGCACAGACACGGGCACACAGCTGCATGTCCTGGGCCGTAACCTCCTTGGGGGCCAAGGCCTCTCTGAAGCACTGCATTAGGATCCCTGCCCTCAATTCATAACTGGAATATGTTTAAAAATGTTAGCAAGGCCCGGCCGGCGTGGCTCAGTGGGTGAGCGTTGACCTATGAACCAGAAGGTCACAGTTCGATTCCCGTTCAGGGCACATGCCTGGATTGTGGGCTTAATCCCCAGTGTGGGGCGTGCAGGAGCAGCCAATCAATGATTTTCTCCCATCATTGATGTTTCTATCTCTCCCTTCCCATTCCCTTCCTCTCTGAAGTCAATAAGAATATATTTTTTAAAAATGCTAGCAAGGGCAGCAGTCCCACCTCTTTATAACACACACACACACACACACACACACACACGTGCTAGCGTGTGCACAGAGTTGCTGGTGAGATCATGGTAAACACTAGCCTGGTTGGGGGATCAAAATAACAGAATGATTTCCCTTCATGGCTGGCGTAGAGGAACAAATTAGACGGATAAATTAGCAGTTCCCAAAGACATTAGCCACCACCCAGCTCACACAGTGAGCATCTGACACACGGGAAGGAGGGGAAAGGCGGGGGACTCTCCAAGTCTTGGCCTATGAATAGACGCTCTTCCTCCCTCTCGGGGAGGGAAGCCAGAGTGCCCAGAACACCAAGGGGCAAGCCTCTGAATAGTTTTATTTTAAAAGACAAGCCTAATTACCACTTTTTCTGGTTCCTTGAAGAAGAAGAAAGAGTTCCCCTGCAAGTCTCCATTCACCGGTGAGTTAATCAAGCCTACTCACCACAGATGATGTAATTCGGTGGCTTCTCCAATCAGATCGAGGCTGTCACTCCTCTGCCTCCTCAGCTAATTGCCTTTCTTCACACCTGTTGCTAGTTCCTGGCGCCTATGCCACCTCCTTTCTCCGCCCGGACACTCACAGGTCCTGGTGGACAGCAAGGCCTAGGGCTGATGGGGTGTGTCCTTCCCATTTCTGCTCAAGGCCAGTTGCTGTTTGTTGAGTGTGTTGCAAACCCATGGTTGGGGGAGCTGGGCCCCCTGCGGCCCAGTTGTCTATCTGATGGGTGGAGTCTTCGCTCCTGCAGTGAGCGCTCAGACCGCATGCGCTCTGCGTGGAATCTCCAGATTTCCAGGGGAGGTCCTCTGTGCTGTGCCAGACGGCAAGGCTGGATGGCCCCAATCCTGCTCAGACCCTCGGGCTCTGGCTCAGAACGTGGAGAAGACTGAGGATCCACAGCTTTGCACGAGCCCCCGCGGGCCCTCCAATTCCAAGAACCATCTCTCACCTGTTCACGCGTAGCTCCCTCTCCCTCCCACGGCGCCACCCTTTTCACTTCTCTCCTGCACCATCAGCGAGTAAGTATCTACTCCTTTCCCCTGCTGCCGGCTGTACAGCAAGTTCGGAGGCTCACACAGCCCTGGACAAACTTAGAGAAGGTATGCGACCTCTCAGAACCTCCACACCCTCATTTCTAATACAGGGACCCGGTGCCCACCTGCAGGGCGGTGGAGTGGATTAAATGAGACACTTCGAGGCAAGAGTTTGCGCAGGTGCCAATGTTGTCTTACCCAGCAACAATTTCACTGTATGCATTTGGTCACCTCCTGGTTAGAAGTTAAAATCTTATTTGGTTCTTCTTCTGAACCCTCAGGGCCTGGGATACTTATAGGTGTACGGAAGCCAGTCAGACATGGTTGTTCTTTATTGGCTGAATAACATAGACTCCCGTCTCTCCTTTCCCTGGTTTTCACCACAAAACTCTTATCAGCTGCTCCCCTGGCCCTGCCTCTTGGATCCTGGGCTTTGGGGCCATTCCAGGCTCCCCTTTCCCTGTGCCCCATCCCCTAGTGAGCCCACTGACTCCTGAAGTCCTGGTGTGCATGCTACTGCTGCCACCCCCTGAAATGGCTGCGTCCCCACGTGGGCCTCGTCCGTCAGCTGCCTCTCGCCCCTCCCCTCGCACCCCTTCCCCCATGTTGTTTGTCTGCTGGGCTGGGCTTTATCCGAGGGTGACAGCTCACCAGACCTCACCCCTGAGTCTCTTCCAAGCCTTCGCAGCCCACCCTGGTCCAAAGATATCTTTTATAGCTGATCTCTGCGGCACCTCCTACCTTCCAATTAGGAGCTTGTCAACACCCCAGCCATCACTCTTCCTACAGCGGCTGACAAGGCAGGCTGCTCTGGGAGAGTGAAGCAAAATTATTTCCCTGATGGTGGAGGTGGTGCTGAGCACAGGAGCTGGAATCTAGGTGAATCGGAATCTAGTTCAGCCGTCTTATTCTACAAGTAGGTGTCTTGTCTTTGAATGTGCAGCACCAAGCACAGTGTTTGGCACATAGTAGGTACTCAATAAATGGCCACACGTGAATTGAAAAGGCCAAGGACACATTCTTTTTCTTTTTCTTAATATACATTTTTATTGATTTTAGAGAGGAAGAGAGAGGGAGAGAAACATCAATGATGACAGAATCATGGATCCAGTGCCTCCTGCACGCCCTCTACTGAAGATCGAGCCAGCAACCTGGGCATGTGCCCTTAACTGGAATCGAACCTGGGACCCTTCAGTCCGAAGGCTGACGCTCTATCCAGTGAACCAAACCAGCTAGGGCTAAGGTCACATTCTTTAGCTAGCGGATTCCCCTTCTCAATGCCGGTTGACGTCCACTTCGTTTCTTTCTCTTGTATATGCAAATAATAAACCGAGCTCCTAATTAGTCATTCATAGTCTTTTCTTTCCTTTCCTTCTGTGGGTGAAAATAAATTTATACCAGAAAAGAGAGATGTCTGATCCCTCTGTCCTCCTCCTTCCACCTTCTCTAAATCCTGGGATCATGGCGAGGCTGTCTGAAATTCAGGGTCATTTTCAGAAACAGGAGCTGATGAAGGAAGTATGACACAATCTCACATTTTTCTTATCTGGCAGTGTGGTCTGGTGGTTTGCATAGGGGCTCTGCCCGTCGGAAGTCAGGCTTTCTATTTCTGGGGCTTAAGGGAAACCATGCAACAACAGTCTTTACAGCGCCCCTCACTCTTGCTTTCTCTTTCTCTTGTTCTCTGTAATGAGCCCAGAGTGGAATGACTGAGCCACAGCAGCCTGTATTTCAACCGAGAAAGGAAATGTACCACCCTCCTGGCCCCAGACTCAGCCTGGATGGAGGCTGTGAGGGTTTGTGGTAAAGAGATGAAAGATTTCCAGAGAAATGGAAAGTGAGGGCGATGAGCAGGAGCCTGGTTTGGGGCTGAGAGTCTGAAGAGGCAGTGATGACAGTCTTAACCACATCAAACTAAACCCTTTCTCTGACGGCAACGTGAGAGCCTGAAGTCTGAGGGCTCCGAGGAATGGAGATTTTCATCGACTGAGCAGTGCCGGGTGTACCTGGGAAAGGAGGAGGGGAATCACCCTTGCTTTGCCCTCCAGGGAGCAAATCCAGAAGTGGGGATGCGGGGAACGCCTTTGATCTGAAATAGACAAGTGGGCGTGGGAGGGGGCAGAGAAAGAACCAAAGAAACAGCAGATTTGATGAAACCAGAAAGGGACAACATGAAAGGGGGGTATTAGGATTAGTTCTTCAGAAGGGCAGAGAGCTACATCGACACGTCTTTGCTGCCCGCCTAGGACAGTTCTCTCAGGGGCTTGGGAAAGGCCTCCTGAGGGGGTATCCGTGTTAAACCAGCCTAGCAGAGATAGAAGCAACAAATCTAGGAATTCCATTGTACCCCAGACTTCAAAGTACATAGAGATTTGAACAGCCTTAAAATCGATATAAAATTTTCCACATTTGATCAGATCAGTCTTCTATAACTATGCAAGTTCAGGCTGTATCTAGAAAGAACAGGGCAAGTCAGGGGAAAATAGTCATTTAACATGCCATTTCCTTCCTCATTTCTCCCCCCATGATCTTCAGGCCTCAATTCCTGCTACTGTAGATGTTGTTTGAACAACCAGGAAGCTATGAGACCTTTTGGGTTATCTTTAGGGTGACACCCTGCAGAAGGTTTTTAGGCTGAGCTGGGGCTGGGCGACCAGATGGCCGGACTATTGCTTTGGGGTTCTGAAGGTCTTCTCTCTACCAGGGCGGTTCAAACAGTAGGCTTTCTAGGTTAGTTGTATGTGTGCCATTCAGAGGCCCAGACTATGATGGGAATGTGGTGTTTTATGAGATTTCAGCGGTTATTGTGTGATTAAAGTGCTTTGAAGAAGAAAAAACAACAACAAAACAATCTCTCCAAAGGGACAGCACACAGGACCCTAGCTTTGGAGTTAGGAAAACCTGGATTTGAATTCCGGCTCAGCCCATTACCCAGGCAAGCTGCTTTCTCTCTCCACCTCTGCCCTTCACCTCCATGCTGTTGTGAGGACTTAACAAGATATATAGTTGGCATACTTTGGGGCACAAAGTAAGTTGTAATTTATTGCTCTTCTGTCCCAAAGAGCATCTTGAGACTTCATTTATAAATATTTTAAAAAGGGTTTCACTGTGGAGATATCTCCCCAGCCTACTGATGTTTATGGAGAACACACTTTCAACCGCCAGTTACAGCAGCAGAACAGAACCTTACGCCAACAGACATATGGAGGACCTGGCCTCCGCACCTCATGGGCACATGGCTGCGTAACAGCCAGCGGCACCCTGCGCCCCCTGCCTGGGCCGTGCCCCAGGTGTGCTCACCTGGCCCAGCAGCTCTGGGAAGCAAGAGCAGAGAGGAAACCTGACTCCACCTGCAGACAAACCACTGAGGATGAAACCTTTAGAGCAGCGGTTCTCAACCTGTGGGTCGAGACCCCTTTGGGGGTCGAACGACCCTTTCACAGGGGTCGCCTAAGACCATCGGAAAACACATATATAATTACATATTGTTTTTGTGATTAATCACTATGCTTTAATTATGTTCAATTTGTAACAATGAAATTGGGGATCCCCACAACATGAGGAACTGTATTAAAGGGTCGCGGCATTAGGAAGGTTGAGAACCACTGCTTTAGAGGCTGCAGAGCTGCTGCTAGCCCATATGACACCTCTGTAAGGATTAGAAACAGCTGCTCTTTTCTCTAAGCAGACACAGCCATGCCAGGGTGCACAGTGTGGCAAGCAGGAAGCACGCTGTATTTCAGCCCGGCTCACCCACTTGACTGCACAACCGCAGCGATGGCCTGCGTGGGAGCTCCCATTTTATGGGCTGTGGATAGGACTGCAAGGTGGGGGCCTTGAGGGCTCTCTCCACACACTTGACAATACTACCATGTTTGATGGCTGCCCTGTCAAATATAGTAGCCACTGGCCACGTGTAGCTCTTTAGATTTACATTGACATTAATTAAAATTAAATAAAATAAAAAATTTGTTGGCCCTAGCTGGTTTGGCTCAGTGGATAGAGCATCAGCCTGGGGACTGAAGGGTCCTGGGTTCGATTCCGGTGAAGGGCACATGCTCAGATTTCGGGCTCAATCCCCAGTAGGGGGCGTGCAGGAGGCAGTGGATCAATGATTCTTCTCATCATTGATGTTTTTACCTCTCTCATTAAATGTTGTGCCTCCATCATAGTAACTTCTTGTTAAGTGCTCAATAGCCGCAGGTAGCCATTGGCTACCATATTGGACAGTGCAGATATAGAACACTTGCATGTTACAGAGAGTCCTCTTGGATAGCACGGCTCTAGCTGATCACTTTCAGTTGTAGTAGCCACTTCTCTTCCACTCCCCATCATGGGCCATCTTCTCTAGACCTTCAGACCATTCATCGTGTTACCAGTATTCCAGGTCGTATCCAATCACCATACTTTTTGTTCGTGCCGTCCTCTCTTCCTAAAATGTCCTTCCTCGGCCAATAACTGTCCATCCAATAACATCCCACTCACTCTTCAAGGCCGGGATCCTATGCGGACTCCCCAGATGGACACTCTTTTCTTCTGACAGCTCCCAAAGCTGTACATTGAGACACTTTCTCATCAGGTGTTTGTGAGCCTTGTGTCCCCTGCTCACTGTGTGCCTTATTCATCTCGGTGCCTCCAGGGCCTGGTGAGAAAGCGCCTGTGTGAGGAAGCCGCATCTCTGGAAGGATAGTTGCTTGCACACCATCACGGAAGCTCTGGGTGGGACACCGTGGAATATGTTTGCATACAATGCTTTGAGCTTTGCAGGTGGTGCTTTGCATTCAACTCCTCCAGGCAAGAGCACTGCTACACGGGCACTCGCTTCTCTAACTCCCGGAAGAGGGAGCAGAGGCTACGAGATGGGCAGTCATCCAAGGCGACTACTCAGCCAGAAATGGCAGAGTGGCATTTGGGCAGAGGTCGTCCTGTCTCCAGAGCCCAGGCGCTGGGTGCCTCTTATTTGAGGGCGTGCCCTGAGGGCCCAGCCCGGCAGACCTGCATTCGCTTATGTTAGGCAGGAGCTAGAATGAGGAGCTCGGTTAAGCAGAGGGTCCTGGGCAGCTGCACGTGGATGCATGCCCTCCCCCCACGCACTTCCCCCACCTCCCAGGGGGAAGACTTGTCCCTGGGACCCTTTCTCGGGCTTCATTCCTCTGGACAGAGGTGGGACAGGCCAGAGACACCCCCCGCCCACACCCCCAACTCGTCCTCTCCTTTTCCTCCCTAACTGCTGGGTGTTGCTTCCTGCTAACTTGGGCACAGCAGAAAGGCTGGGAAGGGGCTCGTACCCCAGACTTTCCTTTCTGCCTCAGCTTCCGGTCGGATGCTCTCGTCTCCCCTCTGTCTTCAGAGCCATCATTTTCACAGCAGGCCTAGGTGAGCCGGGCAGTTTTATGATGACATAAAAAATATTGTCTTTCTGCAAGAGGCTTGCGTGTCATAACCAACTCGGGGCATCTTATTACTGAAGCTCTTCCTGTCTGTGGAGAGACATTTTGTACTCAAAACTTGTTTTTAAAAAAAGTGTGGGCAAACGGGGGGGAGGGGGGCACGGGGGAGGAAGCCTGGGTTGTCTGGCACAGCCTGTTCTCCCGTGTGCCCCCAACAGGTTTCTGGGCAGTAATTGCCAGACTTGAATTTCTACCTCCCACCACACTCACCTCGGTGGTTTTCTCTTTTTCTGTCCTTGTTCTCCTTCAAATGCTCATTGTCTTGTTTCCCATTTTCTCTCACTTCTGCTCACGTGTTAGATCTCCCAGTGAGTGCCCCAGGCACCATGTGCCCCCCCCCCCGGGGGTGCTCAGCCCAGAACATACTTTGATGTGGTCTCTTAGCTCGGCTGACCCCCTTTCTAACTTCTCTGCCTAATGCTTTGAGGTCCAGATTCTACGAGTACAAAGGGGTTGAACTGTGAGCCAAGAAACACACAGAACGAGGGAAACACCGCCTGTGAGGAGCCAGGCCGATCGCCTCCTGGCAGACCACCTTTCTCTCCGGCCCTGCCCGCCCAGCCTCGGGCCTCCTGCGCCTGTGAATCTGACGGTGGCAACCTGATTCTGAGCCCTGGCGTTCCCGGTCTGGCTTTCCCCCTGTTTGTGACACTGGCCGAGCCTGATCTCCAGGCTGGGACCAGCCCGAGAACCTCTACCTGCTCCTGGTGCTGCTTCGGCTTTGGTTGGGCATTTTCCACCTGGGACTGTCCCCCAGCTCTGTATCCACCCCAAAAGTGGTCCCCCAGCAACAGATGAGTAATCTGTTCATTCAACTCCCTGCCTTCCTTATTTATCAATAAGAAGTTTGCATGAGTTTCCCTGCTTGTAAACTAAGAGCTTCCTGCGACTACAGGCTGCCTCTTAGGGAGATTAGAACCTTTTCCCTAGAAACGTTTAGAAATGTATTTTGAATATAACAGAACAGGGTTTTGATTTGTTTTGTTTTTTAAAGTACACAGTGGTTTTCTCATTGCTATAATTACAGTCGCAGTCACTTGTTGGCACTGCATCATCAGGGGCTGAAAGACAGAAACTGGGTTGATTGTCACAAAATGGTCCAAATAAAAAAAGGCTGAGACATGAACCCTGAGCCATGCAGCCCACTGCAATGTATATCTAACCGCTTTACGTTTAGCCTCGGCCATGGCAAGTTTCCCTGATTTGTGAACATAAAAATGGCTTATATTTTCATATAAGGCATTTTCCTGTGGGTTATTTCTAACCTGCAGCTTTTTTCCAGATTTGCCTTGACCCCAGGGGTGGCCGTCAGAGAGCAATGCTTCTCAGTAGATGCTCTCAGTCCCATAGTAGGACCAACAATTAAGTATAACAATAAGGAACACATTGTCTGTTCAGGCCGCCCTTCCTGCTCTTAGATTCATAGAACGCCCTGCCACCTGGACAGTTGATGTGTGTGTGCTTAAAATAACCCAATTGAACGTATGTGTAAAAGACACAAGTAAGAAACTCTGAAAGGAAAAACATCAAAATAATTAAAGTAGCTGCATACGTGTGGTGATAGTAATGAAAGATGTGTCTTTTTCTTTACTCTTTTCCTAAAATAACTGTATTGCGATTTCTCACTTAAATAATTAAGGGTAATAGCATTAGACCCTGGCCCAGGAGCTCAGTTGGTAGGAGCATCATCCTGATACAGCAAGGTTGCGGGTTCAATCCCCAGTCAGGGCACATATAAGAAGAACCAATGAATGCATAAAGGAGTGGAACAACAAATGGATCTCTCTCTCTCTCTCTCTCCCCCCCCCTTTCCTCTCTCTTTAAAAATCAATAAATTACAAAAATAAAAAGCAATATCATTAATTCAACATAATAATTTTTAAGTACTGCCCTAGCCAGTTTGGCTCAGCGGATAGAGCATTGGCCTGCGGACCAAAGGGTCCCGGGTTCAATTCCGGTCAAGGACACGTACCTTGGTTGCAGGCTCCTCCCCAGCCAGGGCCCTGGTCAAGGCTCATGCAGGAGGCAACTGATCAATGTGTTTCTCTCACATTGATGTTTCTCTCTGTCTTTCCCTCTCTCTTCCACTCTCCCTAAAAATCATTGGAAAAATATCCTCGAGTGAGGCTTAACAAAACAACAACAACAAAATTTTAAGTACTTTATTATTCCTTCAGTGTTTATTGAGCGCATACTATGTGCCAGATTCTGCTCTGGGTGCTAAGGACACAGGGTGAATAAGACACAGTTCCTTCTCTCATAGAGCATCTAGTCAAACAGGGGGACAGGTCAGAAACAAGTCATTATATAGATCTATTCATTAGTGTATTCCACAAATATTTACTGAGCACCTACTGTGTGCCAAAAATGTTTGTAAGCACAAAATGGGGACCAGCAATGAGCACAGCAGGCAAACGTCCTTGCCTTCGTGGAGGTCCTATTCTCATGGATGTAGCTATTGACTTATTTTTAATTAGAATGAATATCATGAAGGAAAAGTATAGGGGGCCTGCCTAGTCTGAAAGGTCAGAGATGACGTCTGAGGAAGTGATGTAGTTTAAGAGCCTCAGATAAAACAGGGCTTTGTTTTGCCCTCCGGGCCTGAGGCAGCTTCTGTGGACAGGGCAGGAGGTGTGCTAGGTGACAATCTGGGCGGATGCTCCCTCTGAGGTCTGTCTCCCAGTTCTGTCTGCCGCAGTGTGTAGCCTGGGCACGAGCTGCCCCGGGCCGCAGGCTGGCGGTGGGCAGGGGGATTTGGGACCAAGTTTCCATTAGTAGTCACCGTCCATTTGGGCGTCAGCGCATTCTGTCTGGGAAGTCCCGATGCAGAAAAAGCAAGGCCGTCCTCCCGGCCTGGCACAGACAGTAATTAATGGACCTTCCTTCCCCAGACAGGAAAACTGGAGCAGAGAGGACCAAGGCAGCCTGAGCCAGAGGCGCCTCTCCATCACTGGCCAGGAGGGAGCAACTGCTCCATTTCTTTGGCCCTCAGACCGCGGAGCCCCGGGTCACCAGCCTAAACCGCTTAATGCGCATCACGCCTGGGTCTCCTTGGAAATGGCTGAAGCACTTAAATGGGACGCCCAACCTTTGTCCTCCGCTCCAAAACCACAGGTAAGTTTTTAGGTCTGTGTTGTATCGATCGCGCCTCCCACCAGCAGCAGGAAACCCGCGGTGAAGCAAGCCCACTTTGCAGTGACAGGGAAGTCATTCCCCTAATCCGCTCTCACTGGACAATCGGGTTGACAAAAACCATTAAGTTTTCTGAGATTAGAAATTCACTGTCAGAGGGAGCCATGTCTGGAGTTTTCCACTCCATTACACCCAGGACAATAACCAGAGGCCAAGTGACAGGAAAAGGCTGGGGCTTTTTAAAAGTTTCCTGTGTCCTCGGGTGGAGGGAATGAAATTAACAAGCGCCTCCCGTTTGTAGGACACGGGATATATATTATCTCATTAATCAATGCAACAACCTATGAGGAGGGCTCCGTTTATTGCATTTGATGGAAGAATACGCTGGGGCTCAGCAGGATTCGGTCACTGTCTGAGGTCACCTAGCTAGTTAGTGTGACATGGAGGTAAGAATCAGAATCACCGGGCCAGAGGGGTCTAGAGGCTAATGACCTACTTTCTTGTAGGCAGAACTGCACTTGAACCATCCTTGAACCCATTTCGCTCTGAAAGATGCCACCATTCTGTAGCAAGTGGAGGTGGGCTGGCACAGTGATTAAGACCACAGACAGGCAGCTACGTGTCCACGTGTCCTCTCTGTGTGTGACTTGGGGCAAGTTCCTTCACTTGTCGCAGTCCAGGCTGGTACAGTGATTAAGACCACAGACCGGCAGCTACGTGTCCACGCGTCAGCCCCTCCTCTCTGTGTGACTTGGGGCAAGTTCCTTCACTTGTCGCAGTCTCCTTCTCCTCCCCTGATTCATGAGGAGGTAATAACCTAAACCATCCATCCTGTAAGGGCTCTGAGGCTTACATGAGATCACCTGTATAAAGCATTTAGCATACTGCCTGCCAAGTATGCTAATAAGAACACCACCATTTCCCCACTGTTCTTTGGGACTACTTGTGTATAAAGCATTTAGCATACTGCCTGGCACGGACCAAGTATTGGAAATAAGAAGTCAGTTGGTAATAGGAAGTAACTTTTTTTTATCCATATACATGTCTGTTTCTGTTCTTTTTGAAATTAACAAGTGCCTCCCTTTTGTATCTCACGGGCCAAGTATTGAAAATAAGAAGTCAGTTGGTAATAGGAAGTAACTTTTTTCACTTATATTTTTATTATAAGTTTATACACCATATTGTCAAAGATTTGGAAAATAGAAAAAAAGGGGGGAGGGATCACACCTATTCGTAACTACTATCTATATATATTTAAAAGCCTAAGCGACTGAACGACCGAATGACCGAATGACCAGTCAACCGGTCACTATGATGTGCACTGACCACCAGGGGGCAGGCACTCAATGCAGGAGCTGCCCCCTGGTTGTCAGTGTGCTCCCACAGCCAACCTCCCGTGGCTGGCCAACCTCCCGTGGTCCCTCCCCCTGGCCGGCCAGCCAGCCCTGATCAGGACTGGGCAAGACGGCCCCGATGGCCTCAACCACCGGCCAGGCCAAGGGAACCTGCACGAATTCATGCACCAGGCCTGTAGTTATCCTTATAACATATTCCTTTCATTATTTTTCCAATGCATTTATTTTTCCCTCAGATGTGATTATATTTTCTTTGCAACATTGTGTGATTTTTCCCCCCACTTAGCATTGTATTAAAATCATTTATCCATCTTGCTACAATCTTTATTTTATTTATTTATTTATTTATTTATTTTTAAATCCTCATCCGAGGATGTGTGTTTTTTTTATTGATTTTAGAGACAGGAAAAAAAGAGAGAAACATCTATGTGAGAGAGAAATATCCATCAGTTGCCTCTTGTATGCACCCTGACCAGGTTTAGAGAGAGGAAAAAAAGAGAGAAAGATCTATGTGAGAGAGACATATCCATCAGTTGCCTCTTGTATGCACCCTGACCAGGGATCAAACCTGCAATTAGGTATGTGCCCTGACTAGGAATCAAACCCATAACCTTTTGGTGTACAGGACTATGCTCCTACCAACTGGGCCACCTGGCCCTGGCTATAGTCTTCATTTTAATAACTATGATATTCTATCATGTGGATGTGCCATAATTTGCTTATCTGTTCCTCTGCTGCCTGACCTTTGTTTTCAGTAATGCTGAGGCGAACATTTTGCTGGACACAATGTTTGTACAGACTGTACCTCTACCTGAACATTTGCCACACTGGATGGCAACGATCCGTTTACACGGCTGTCTCCCTTAAGAAGACTTGAAGGTTCTGGAAGGCAGGAGTTTCCTCATTATTGTACCGTCAGCTTGTAGATCTGACACTGAGTCTGAAGTTTTGGGTCAAAAACTTAACCCATTTTGAATTTTTATTTCTTTAGGATTTTTTTTTTTTTGCAGGGAGGAGGGGAGAGAAGGGTTCAATAATCAGAGTTTTACCAAATAGTTTTTTCAAAGAGGTTGTCCTAATAGGCCCTGCTACCAGTCAGTAGTGAATTTTTACTGTCCATCAACTTCATGTTTTTTCGTGAACAAATTAAAGGGAGAAAAACATCCAGAGCCAAAAACAACTGAAATGCTATCGAAGAGAAGAACACGGTAGAAAGACCCCCTTTACCAGATATACTGTAAAGCTGTAGTAATGAAGCGTACGTGGCATTAGCACACGGATAGACAAATAGGCCAGTAAAAGAGAACAGAAACAGACATGTATGTGGATATTTGCTGGATGACAAAAGTAGTCCCAAAGAACAGTGGGGAAATGGTGGTGTTCCCATAAGTGGTATTAGAAAAATTAAGCATCCGTTAAATGGAATTGGACTCCTGCTTCGAACCAGGCACAAAAAGTCAATTCCAGATAAACTAAGACACAAGTGTGAAAAGTAAAATCATAAAGCTTTTAAAAGATAACACAAGACAATATCTTCATAATCCCAAGGTAAGGGAAGGTTTCCTAACATACAAAAAAAGTTTGATGGGTTTGACTATGTTAAAATTAAAAACTTCTGCTCATTTAATAACACCATCCTACGGTGAGAAGGCAAGCCCCAGGGTAGGGGAAGATACTTACAACACACATCAATGGCAAAGGAATTGTGTCCAGAATGTGTAGAGAAAGGGACAGACAACCCCACCAGGGCAAAACATTTGCACAGGCATTTCCTAAAATGGAAATCCAAACAGCCAATAAACACTTGAAAATGTGCTTATTGTCTATTAATAATCGGGAAATTCAGACGGGAACCGCAATGTGCTACCACTGCGCAACCAATAGATTGGTTAAAATTTTAAATCTGACAAAATGAAGTGTTGGTAAGGATGTGGAGCAACAGGAACTTCCATCCACTGCCGACAGTAACATACAGGGGTGCAGCCACTGTAGACACTGGCATTTTCTGGGAAAGGTGTTACAGTGCCTACTCTTCAACACAGTCATTCCACCCAGAAGCATGTATTCTAGATCAGGTCTGAACAAACTTATTCTGTGAACAAAAAGTGAAATGGTCTCTGTCACAGCTATTCAGCTCTCCTGAGCGTTACATAAAGCATTGCCAGGCGCACTTAAGGAAATTGACATGGCTGTGTGCCGATAAAACTTTATTCCTGGACACTGACATTTGAATTTCATATACTTTCTATGTAGCATGAAATATTCCCTCTCTCTCTTTTTAAAATTTTTTCAGCCATTTAAAAATGGCTCAGGGGCCATGGAATAGCAGATGGTAGGCCAGCTTTGGCCTGTGGGCCACAGTGTGCCAACCGCTGCTCCCCAGTGCTACAAAAGGGGTGTTGCAGGGGTGTTCCCGCCTCATTATCACCTAATAATTTGTTGCAAATGAAAATATATGGGCACCACCCTAGACTTACTGAATCAGAATCTGTAAGGAGAAGGGCCAGGAATCTGCACTTTAACAAGCTCCCGACTATTTCCACATACACTGAAGTTTGAGAATCAGAGCGGTGGAGAAACTCGTATATATGCGCACAGGGATCTGTGTGTGAGAATGTTCATAACAGCATTATCTATAATAACCTCACCCTGAAAACAACCCAAATGCCCAGGACCCATAAAATGTCCAACAGCAGTAAAGTAGATAAGTGGGACCATATTCAGGAACGGAAATACATATTAGAATCTTACTCAATAAGGATAAATGTTATAAAGGTAACACTGAGCACAACAGAACAAATCCAGACACGAAAGACTATAGACTCTCTGATTCTGTACAACAATATAAAGTTCAAAAATGGACAGTAAATTATACCACTTTGGGGTGAATGCTTAAGGTGACAATCGGTAAAGTGAGACAAAGAAACTGCTCTCATCAGAGTCAGGATCATGATCTTTGGGGGGAAAGAGGCCCTGGTGTTTAGAAAGGGGTACCTGGGAGGCTTCTGAGGGCTGGCAACGTCCTATTTCTTGACTTGGGTATAGGTTACATATGTATTCACTTCATAATAATTTGTTAAAGTGCACATTTATGTTTTGTGCACTTTCCTTGTGTGATATATTTCACAATAAAAACTTACAAAGAAAAGTAACTGCCAGGAATGGCGCCTTTCTGAGCCAGCCCCGTGTGCGGAACCTGCCAGATCCACTTCACACCTTGACTTCCCGCCTGGTCGATTCCCTGTAGCCCACCCAACTGCAAGTTGCAAATTTATAGGCCATCTGAGCCCAGATGGTTTCCTGTGATAGCTGCTAGGGGCATAATAATGAGTACACGTCTCCCCACACGGTCCTGAATGCGTTTTGGCAGGATTTTTACTGCGGGCAGTAAAACCTTCTTACAAAGTCCCTCACTGTCTGAGGGGCTTGGCCGCATTGCGGTTGAGCCCACTGCCTCCTGTTACTGGCAGCTCATCATCCTCATCCCATACAGCATCCTTGAGAGCTGGCTTTCTCTCCCTTGTCCTACAAGGCCATTTGATGGATTGTTACTAATAATCATTGCCTTTCAGAAACCCCCCAGTTCCTGTCCTCACAGCTGGAACTTCCTCTTCGCACTAATTGGAAAAACATCCTCTGGGGAAGGGGGCATCTTCATTGAGTGAATCTTTGGTGATGGCTATATCAACTGGTAAGATGAAGTTGACAGCAAGGAGGTGAAGGCTCAGAACCCCACCCCCTCCCCACTAGTGCACTGGTCCCAGGCCTGAGTCCAAGAAACCAGACTGGCCTGACGGATGACCAGATTCCCATTTGGAAAAACTAAGGGTCCCACTAGGAAAGAGCTAGCTCGAGAGGCTGGGGTCAGTCCAGGAGCCTAAGCACCATGCCCACTAATGGTTCCCCCCCTCGCCCGTTTTCTTCCCGTTCTTCCTCATTAACAGTACCCCTGAGTATGAGCTGCCTAATGAAGATCACATTTATGATCGTGTGACCAAAATCTGAATAATGAGAACCAAACAGAAGCGATATAAGGAACTTCCCAGAAGGATGCTTAAAGAGTGAGTGCAAGTCTTCTTTCCTTCCTTTTGGCAGGATCCTGGCTGGAGCATTAGCAGCCCTTTTGCACAATGAGGTGACTTTGGAAATGAAGTCCATGTTGCTGGAGACCGAAATGCCATACCAGCCCTGGAGTAACGTCAAAAGAGACATAAGCCCTGACCGGTTTGGTTCAGTGGATAGAGCACATGTCAGCCAGTGAGTCAGCCTGTGGACTGAAGGGTCCCAGGCTCAATTCCGGTCAAGGGCATGTACCTTGGTTGCGGGCACATCCCCAGTGGGGAGTGTGCAGGAGGCAGCTGATCGATGTTTCTCTCTCATCAATGTTTCTAACTCTCTATTCCACTCTGTAAAAAACAAACAAACAATAAAATATATTTAAAATAAAAAGAGAGAGACATAAACCTCTATCTTATTTAAGCCACCGCTTTGGGGCATTTTCTGTCACTTGTAGTTGAACCCAGATCGTAAGTGATAGCCTTTTTCATAAAGCTAACGAGTGGGAGCAACCTCAGTGGCCCATAGAGGGGACGGTTCCCTCATGTGCTTACTCATTCATCACATTTTTAATGAGTGTCTCCCACATGCCTGCCTCTGATCTAGGCATGGGGGATCTAGTGGTTAAAAAAAAAAGTCTCTGCTTTAAGAACTTTGTTAGAAGAGGAGGCAGGAGGCATACATAAATGAACAACTAAAATATGGCTTAATTAGTGGGACCATAGAGGCTGAGTGGTTTAAAAATATATTTAATGAGATGGGGAAAATGCTCATGACATGTTGCTAAAAACAGTAGGTTATTAAAGACCATGCAGAGTACGTCCAATTTATCAAACAGCACATGTGTTTGCACGGAGAAAAGACAAAATCGACGTATGCTGTGAACACCCCGAACAGCATTGGCATCTAGGAGGTGAACGATAAATGGTTAATGAATGAAAGAATCTATTTCGGGGCGAAGAGGCTATTTTCTCCTCTGTATGTTTTTACACTTTGCCAATGTTGCCCAATAAATATGTATTATTTTTGTAATAAGGGAAAAAATAGCACCATTAGGAAACAAGGTGGATTATGAAGTCGAGGACCAAGCTGACATGGGCAGAGTAGTGATTTTTGTTAGGATGCAAACTAAGTTGTGCTAAACACTCTCAAAAAAAAAACCACTCCAGCTTGGGGTCCGAGTTTGGCCTCTCCCTCAGGGGAGGACACTGGGAGGGTCTTTGCTTTGCACTTGCGCTGTCTGGAAGCGCAGGGACATCTGCCCAGGTCTTTGTGCTACATTTTTAGTGGGGCATGGCCCACTGCAGCCAAGTTATTAAGCACCAGCCCTATCACTTCTCTTCCCATGGCTCCTCTCTGCTGGGCCTCCTGCTCCTCCACGAAAGCAGCTGTTGTTGTTTTGTGGAGGCTAATTAACTCCACACTGCATGAAGCCAGACGCTAATTGGCCCACTCACTTAATCAACTTTAATGTCTCTCTTCTGATGGACCCGCTGCTGCTTTTTGTTCCCTTGATCACCAACAAATGCAGATCCAGGGGAGTGGCCCTAACAGCCTCCGGTGGGCACACGCAGTCCTAACCCTGTCACCTACCCAGGGGAGGCTCCTTTGACCCTCCGTTGGCTCAGGGACAGACTCCGAAGTTCGCGATCACCAGAGCATCTTGGGAGCTGAGCTTATTGCTTCTCGTCTAAACATTGCATGATGATCTGAGTCATCAAATGGTTGGCTCCTCAAGAGAGTTGGCCTCATCTCTGTCTGTTGCTGACACGTATTTAAGGCTCTAAAACTGAACTGACTTACACAACGACTGCAGCTACCTTTTCCTGTGCGTGGTTGTTTTCAGGGCAGACACTGTGCCAATCTCTTTCCAAGGCAACACGAACACAACATGGCTCAGGGTAAGTACGAAATACATACTTGTAAGGCAGTGGTTCTCAACCTTCCTAATGCCGCGACCCTTTAATACAGTTCTTCATGTTGTGGTGACCCCCAATTTCATTGTTACAAATTGAACATAATTAAAGCATAGTGATTAATCACAAAAACAATATGTAATTATATATGTGTTTTCCGATGGTCTTAGGCGACCCCTGTGAAAGGCCTTCCAACTCTCCCATCCACACTCATCTTGTATACTGGTTTCGTTCATCCTCTCTATATGTCCAAACCATCTCACCGTACCTTTCTCAATCCTCAATACAACATCTTCTTTCACTCCACAACATTCCCTAAAATTAACTTAATAAACTTTACTTAAAGTTTTAAGTCTTAGTTAAACTATAGGTATGTTGAATAAAACTTGATATCATACTTAATAACGATATTATTTATTGATAAAATTAAATTCCTTACATTTTACTTTATAATATCCATAAAATTAAATCATGACAATGACTGACAAACACTAATGTGAACAATGGCCTTGCGCCTCCTTCCCTCCCACCTCCCCAGCGGCACCCCTCCTGCATCCCGCCTCCTTCCCTCCCTCCTCCCCAGCGGCGCCCTTCCTGCATCCCTCGCCTCTGGGGAGGAGGGAGGGAGGAAAAGGCAAAAATATCCCTTTCTCCCCCTCTCCCTCTCTCCCTCTTATCCTTGACTGCATTCGAACCTCGGCCGATGCTCTATCCACTGAGCCAAACCAATCTGCACTCTTCTCCTCTCTTTTTTTTTAGGGCCTAAAGTAGAGAGTTTCAATCACCTTCTTTTTTCTGGTAGATTCAACTAAGACCACTTGTTGAGGTTAAAGCACTCACATTTGCCTCTTGTTGATCACTGAGAGAGAAAGAATTCTACAGGGCCCCTATAGTTAAATTGTGAAATCTCTACATGAGGAGAGAGAAAAGGAGAATATGTCATTTTTTTTCCATGTCTCTAATATTCAGAAATATTGCCCGGAGAAAATTGGGGAGAAGAGACAGGGAATAAGGTTATGTGTGCCTAGCTCCTCATAAGCCTTCTCAAACTCTGAAAGAACAGGATAACTCCCTGTGGACTAAAAGGCATCTCTGGTCAGCCTCAGTTTTGAAGAATGTCTTGGCTTAATAGTCCTTTTCCAGAGAGCAGACTGCCTGACTTAGTGAAGAAGTTGCACCATGTGTATGTTTTCCATCCCATTCCTCTGACCTCATCCTCTTAGATTTCTTCTCTGCAAAGCCAATCGAACAGTTGTATCTCAGACTCAGGTTCAAAAACCAGGTTCATCTATTTGCTTTAACATAACCCCTCAATTGAAAATTGAAAACAATTCAGGAAGGAAGACTTGCAACATAAATGGCACCTATGAATGCTCTGGAAATTAATCCGTTATACAAATCATTCTCTTTTTGAGGTTGTTTTATCTTCCTTCTAAAGAACTCAGAAACTCAATGGCAACTTGAAACAGAACCCAATTTAGTCCTGTCATTAGACCAAGAGGGTTTTATTCTCCCTGGTCCTCTGTCAGATTTTAAATGGATGTAGTTTTATTCCCCTTCTCATCTAATACTGGAACATATCCATCTACAGAAAGATCTCACTTTTAAATGATGTTCTTGTATTTCAAGAGACCTTTTACAGGGGAAAAATAATAGCTCCCCTCTAGACAAAGCTCATGGCTGGAAAGTGAGTATTTATCTCCAAAGATTCAACAAATTCTTACAAAGTGTTGGGCCCAAATTCTTGGTGGCTAGAGGAGGTGGGGTTCAGAAGGTGGACATGACTTGCTCAGAGTCACATAGCTAAGTTAGTGTGTCACCTGTGCGCTTTCTTTCTTCTCATAGCTATTGGGTACTTTCCCTCTAAGTGAGACCCAGACTCTGGTTGGAACAAGAATTCCTGTCCTATGCTCTTCTGAGATATAGCACCCTAGAGAATTAAAATGTTCAGCTGTTGCCATTGTCTGGTGTAAATCTCTCTATATTCACCTGTTTCCCTTAGGAGAGAGTGACTCACTGTACCATGGCTGAAAACCCCACGTAGTCCAAACCTTGGTGATCTGTTTGGTTTATTAAATCAAAAAAAAGAAAGAAAGAAAGAAAGAAAGAAAGAAAGAAAGAAAGAAAGAAAGAAATGAGAGAAAATTGTTCTTTAGACTTAAAATATATAACAAATATATTTATGTATTTTAATTAGGGCATTAATTAGATAGGTCGATGGTACAGTGTAGAGTCCAGGAATAATCTCAAATACATTTGAAATTTTACTTTATATTTAAAAAGTCATCTCAGATCAGTGCAATAAAGCTGGATTGTTCAATAAATGTTGCAGGGATCATTAATAGCTGTCTGGCAATAATAAAATTTATTGATAATTCAAGATAAATTCTAAATGAATCAAAGACAACATTTTAAAAAACAAGTACCTATGGAATCCAGGGGGAAATTGTTTATATCCACAAATGAGAAGGCCTTTTAAAGTATGATACAAAATCCAGAAGTTATAAGAGGAAAACTATAAAATGAATTCAATTATATAAAAACCATAAATAAAGGCAAAGACAAGTGGCAAACTAAGAAAAATACTTTGCAACTCATATAAGAGGAGGGGCTGATTTCCCTAATATGTAAAGAGCTTCTACAAGACCCTAAGAAAAAAGACCAACAGTGCAATAACAAAAAAATAGGTTATTAACAGAATTTACAGAAAAAGGAAATATCAGTAGCTGCTCAAAAACATGAACTATATCTAGCTTTATTTATTAAAAATGTAATGCAAATTAAAACTATAATGAGATGCTATTTTTACCTACCAAACAGGCAGATTTAAAAAAAAAAATTATTCATTTCAGAGAGAAAGGGAGAGGGAGTGAGAGCACTGGGGATCGAATCCACAACCCCAGCATGTGCCCTACCCAGGAATGGAACCATGACCTCCTGGTTCATAGGTCGACACTCAACCACTCACTTTTCTGGGCCTGGAGGAGGCACACAACTGTGGCCTAGATGTTATCTCTAGTTTGACCTCTGTCTCTGTGGTCAACAGACTGAAAAGGCGAGGGCTACGCCCTCCATCTTGCCCCGGATCCTCCATTTTGGGGCAGCAGCCATTAGCCATGTGCTCAGCAAGGAGCTTCTTTCCGGAAGTCCAAGCCTCTGCTAGCCACACCTAGGATTTCTTTAAACTAACCAATGATAATCAAGGAAAGTGCGCGCCATAGATACGACCACATCCTGTGTAACAAGACCCCGACTTGCGCCTGGCCAATCGACAGG